TGCATTTCTGGCCGATATCATTAACATGAGTCAAGAGTAATACTCATATACTAATGTTCGCTCCATTATTTTTTGGTCTATTTATAGAATTAACATGCAGCACTCGTCGTTCATTATTCTGTAGAGACAGTTACATCAAGCCGCTTTTAATACCCATTTTCAGTCCGTGAATCTTATCGACTACAGAAGCTATCATCAGTTGTTCAACATCTTACTACTAAATGACTGTTGCTTTTTGCAAGGTTTTACTTCTTTACTTTCAGTTAGTTAGATAAATGCAGAAATAACTAGCATTAGGTACTTGTGAATAGAAAACTGTCAACGACATTGGCTAAATTCCTGCCCTGAGTTTCATAGAAATCATGAATCGATCAGTGTTAGACTACCACTCCTGGTGTAACATAGACCGATCCGTGATTTGAATGCATCCTTGACTGTTTTGAATTTTGTATATGGAGTTCATATTGGTTTCGGTTTAAACTACAAAAGATATCTAGACCATCTACTGATGTCACTGTTAAGTCCAAAACGAAGTTTTACATCCAGTTATTGCAAAAAGCCTTGGAATAAAGCGGAAGTGTTTGTAATGTGTTACAGATTTATCACCCAGTACTTCACACACCTTCAACTCCTGTCAGGTTTGCTGATATGTCATGTGTGGAAGCCATGAACTCGGTTATTACTTTAAAAATGAATAGCAGACACACAAGACTGGAAGCAATTAAAGATAATAAGCGTGTGTCTATGTAGGCCCGTTATCAGTTTACTCATACTAAAAGAATATCCCGTCCTCAGTTCAGTCTACGGATCTGTTACGAATGAAGTATGATAAGATTTGACTGCTTGGGTTTACATAATGCATTTACTCATTATTAGAAAAGGTGTCCATACGGTGAACAGGTTGTACACTGCTAAGCGAGAATTAACGTACGCAGAAACGACAACTACATATCGAATACATGAAATGCGGCTTGGGGGGCGAAATCCTACGTGAGGTCGCCAGCTGGACGTAAAAAGATGCGTCACTTAGATTCCACTGCCAGATACATTCTACCGATTATACATAGACGTGTCAGAATGTATGTATCGAGGCAATTCACATATGCCGATTGGGACTGATTAAATTCCAGTAAAAGTATCATTCATGAGATAATCCAAACTATTTTAAGTTGAATCACCCCTGTAACAGTTTTCACATGTTTGTGTTTTATGAAAAGTTTAGGAAGTAAGCTTATTGCTCTGTGCTGAAAAAGCACAGAGCTAATACTGCTACAACAAACACTTAGGTCAACTGAGCAGTTGGGATGTGCATGGGTGACACATGAATGTGTATTTGCATGTATTTATCATCCCAGTGATGCAGGTACATCCTTGTACAATAGTTCCGAAGAAGTTAATTGTATGAACGGAAAATAAAATCTTCTCATTCCTAGTTTCTATTGCCTAGAATTCATTGTTGTACAATTACGCATCTTACTAACCTCTGATGCTGCAGTACGTCAAACAAAAAAGGGTAACAACTAACAAAAAAGAGATTATTGTTCTTTTCTGTGTCAGATTTAGTCTCCAGCACATTAAAAATGGAATTTATTTATATACATTATTATGTATTTTCAAATGGGTATCTATAATAATGAATCAAGGTTCATGTAACTGAATAACAGAATATTTATGATTCACTGGATGTTAATATTATCCTTTTCGAACAAGATTTCATTGCCTAACCAGTTTCGTGTCAAGCATATCCATCGGGAGTGTTCCAGGTGGGTTGTCGTGGTCATTCACAGCTGGACGCATAAGTTAGTTGATCTATGACCTGGATTGAGTATTCTGAAATCAAAGGAACCAGTAGTTGATACCCTGAAACAATGACCATCAAATCTATCCGTAAATATGTAGTTTGCCTACCTAAGCATAGGTAGCATGAAGGTAATTTGACAGTCTAGGCTGCAGTTCAACTGTTGCACCCTTATCCATAGTAAATTCATTACTTTTACAGTGACCTAAAGTATATACTAGCCTGAATTAGAAAACACATATGCACCAAACGAAAGACTATTACTAGATAACCTCTGAAAATTGATAAACCAACAGGCGAAAAATCTCTTGAAACAATGCTGCTTACTTCAAGTTACTGAGATTTTTTCCCGAGCTCGAGTGATTTCGGGACAGTACGACCCATTACTTTTTACAGCGATAATCCGCTTAACTTACCTGATTACAGCCTTTGACGTGATCTCGTCACTAACTTAACTTGAGACCACTAGTATACAGTATGAATATGTTTGAAATTTTATTTGATCACTTTGACGCATGCAAGTTGAGGACTTTTCAGAGAATGGTGAAAGTTTCTTAATTAAATTACATGACATCACTACTACCCAATCGCAAACGTTTAGAAAACTGATGTCACAATGCAAGTAATGCTCATGACATACTAGTACATGACATGATACTGGTTAAAAGGTTTTTAGATGCCATTGATAACTCTGAGGAACTGAGAAACGCACAACCAAAAATGGCAAGAATGATAAAGGAACAGGGGAATATCTCAAGCTGAAGCGGTACAATTAATTGCAGGAACAGAAGGTAGCCGAAGCATTCAATAACGGGATGGTGGAGAAAACCACAACCAATAACGGGAAAATAACTTTTGAAAAAAAATTCGTTTTTCGATATTTGGAATATAAATAATTGCAGTATTGTCAACTCAGTACATTTCTCCATCGTGGAAAATGGCGATAAACGCAAACTAGATCGCATAAGGTAAAGCGAGCTGCACAAAATAAGTAACAGAATGGTTCTATATCATTTTTAAACAATGTAAACTTCATTATTCTCAGTGGCCAAGGTGAATATCGGGGTCTTTGCCGATGTTAGGGCACAATTAAAAGTAATCTCAGGGGCATCCTGGTAGGTGTCATAGGTTATCGAGTGTATCTTGAGGTAAAGCTCTTTCCATTATAAATACATTTAGCTCACACTTTATAGCCAATAATAGTAGTTTATCCGATAACACAGTTGACGATATAAGCAGTTTTAAAACATCAACAGTCCTTTTTAATAAACTGAAGACCTCATATTTCAGAAAGACCGCCATACATCAAGCAGTTCAGGGTCGCGCGAACGAAAGCGCGGTCGAGTCCGTAAGTGGCTTGGTTTTTTTCCCTTGGCTATATTAAGGCTTTAACTACTCATTTCTGACTCTCAGCACCAAAAACTATTCTGAGTGACTTGAATAATTTTCAGGTTTTTAATCAGACTTTTGTGTGCTCACTATCCAACAAATCAAGGGTTTCGGTGGCCTTACTGGATGTGGTCATACTTCCATTAGTCTTAATTTTGTTCCTGAATCAGTGTGTCGTGTGGGCTGATTAAATATGCTTGCATTCGTGATTTTTCTACTGGTTTAGTGGAAAGCCTGATACTACACTGTCCTTCTTGTATTATTAGTTTAATAAGTGGAGGCTGTGGTACTGTTTGTTACGCTGGGAAATGGTGTTCATATCTTCCTGTTTCCAAAGTAAGAACTAAAAACGTAAGCCCCGCAGCCATTACACGTGGATAAACTTGGTGTCTTTTAGTTTAGGATTGCGTAATATGGCTAAATCTGAAATAATAACTGTTGTTACTGTCACAGTATTTTAAGATACATTTAATTAAGTTATCATGGTTTCGTAGTAAAACCATAATATTTGGTAAATCTCTGAAGATGCTAGTTATACAACAAAAGGTACTGTCGGTCCGAAATATTTCATACTCACTGCTCACTTCATTATTCTGTTGGTTTTATTTACTAAACACCAGATTACAAAACTGGTTGATATCTTGTTGTAACCAAGCTAAGATTTACAATCGAACAGTATGCATTTTTGGTCAGTTTTTTCTGTCTATCACAAAAAAGAACCATCAACGTACCTTGGGCCTTTCATCTTTTCACTGATGGCGTACATGACTTTGCAAGCCAATGCAGTACATACAAATTAGGGGTGGTGTTCGTCTACCAACTGAGAGTTTCATATATTTAGCACTGCTCTGCATCTGCGCAACGCCCCATGATGTTCGAAGATATGCGTAAACTCCAAGTATTGAAAGACATGATTTGGGTAAATCACTTCAACATAAAAAATACCATTGGCTAATACAGACGTTAGACTTTCACTATCAGGGGAGGAAGTTAAGTCCACTAATGAAGCTATAAACCTCCACCCGACATGTATCATGTGTTCCCGATAACCACCTACGTGATACATAATGTTATATGAGATTGAAGTAGGTTGTTGAAATCAAGATATATCAGTCCATAAAGTCAGTAATCGTCGGTCTAATTCATGTCGTTAGACGACGACTCGTTGGGTGCCATGTAACACTTGTATCCAATGATTGCACATGTTGGGTTAAATGACACGGAAGCAGTCACATAAGCACAGTTATAATAACTCTCCATTGTCGTTTAAACTTCGGGTTCATTTACATTTTTATGCTCTATTGCTCATTTTATTGTGTTCTCATCTTACCTGTTTTCTTTCGTTGTATTGTTATGGAGTGTGACAACTCGGAACACAGAACACCTATTCTGGTGAATAACTGTTGAAATATGGTTGTATTTATGAATTGCTTGTGTTTGGAATATATTTTTTATTGATCAATAAAGTTGCTGTAGTTAACAATTTTCTGAATCGTCACTTCTAAGATCATCCTTAAAATGCTTGAGTAGAATATTTGTCGAAGTCAATTATTTGAATCTGTCCTTTTTAACCATATCCCGTGTGAATATATCGAAGACCCACTATTCCAGTAGTTACATTTTAGGAATTTCATTTTTTATTCATTTCAGATAAAGATTTGTGAACAGTAGAACAAAACATTATCTTTTTGGTAGACTTGTATACGAAAGCTGCGGAAACCAGACAAACGAAGATTCCTCATTTTGGTTTTGGATTATTGAATGAATTAAAATGTTTCAGTGTCTATTTGTCAAGTGCTGCTAATTTTATGTAATGGAATCAAATCTTGTCAATAAGGAACTGTGTGACGTCCTAGAACAATCAAATTTAGTTACAGGTGTAAACAATGACGAAAAAATGGCTAAATCGGCTACTCTTGCACCGAATCAGCAAGTCTGCTGCTCAGTAAATGAGCCACCAGATAAGTTGAATAACGACACGCCACTCCATGAGGAGCGGATTTCAGAATCTATTAGTCAACATGAAGAAAAAGGTCTCTCTAGGGATATAGAGGAACCAGATCAAACCCATCTATATGTCCCCGAGTACGATGATTCATCCACTTTACAACATAGGATCCTCAGACCTCGACGGTCTACTCAAAAGCGATTCGTGGAGATACAAGAGGATGAATGGGAAAAGCTTTTAAATGATGATGTTACCCTTAATGAATATGGTCCTGGTCAACATGTGGATATTGATGAAGCATCAAGCAATACATGGGTAGGATAACTCTAATGATAAATTTTGTTTATAACGTATTCCAACCATTTGAGTGTTCTCTATTTAGTGTAGTATACATACGTGAAATAGTGTTGCAGTACTGTAATCAAAACTTTCTTTTCTAAGACGTTAAATAAGGACTTACAGTGTACTTCTATTTGACTAAGTAATACAGTACTTTCTATAGTTTATAAGTGAGGAGAAGGAAGTTGTCTTACATAAGCGACTACTTAGTCGTGATGATCCTATTCCAAATAGTTTGTTTTATATGTAAGCTGATTTTGATAGAATCCCCTCATTATGATTACTACCATTGTGCGTACAAAATGCTTAGCTCGAACCTGTTTATCCACCTACCGTCTTGGCTTGTCCGACAAAATATATTTACGATCAATATCGAGAGCTGTACGAATGTACTAGTTTTTGGTAGATACCAAGAACGGCGATAGTGAGCAACTTGTTTGGGATTCGGGCTCTAGTTTCGTGCCCGAAAGTCTCGTAATTTTTTATTTTGACGCAAAGCTTGAAGCCCCTCTGGTGCTATTGCCGATCCCAAGCTCGGAAAAAAACAGTAGGTTGGGAGTTTGAAGGTCTTCATTTAAAAGGGTTATAACGTCTTATGACGAAAGCCGAGTTCCTTCGGAAGTCACGAGGCCGATGCGGCTTCTGAAAATTAGAGTCCTTCCATAGCGTGGGCAACCGGGAAGTGACAACCGCCCTCATGCCTATAAAAGCACACAAGAAGAAATCCGTCACAATCAAATCCTTTCCATACTTCCTATTAAATTTCTATCTCCACCACCAACCATTGTTTCGTTCTTTGTCACCTCGCGCCGCTGATACTAACGTTGTGAGATCACGAAATGTTATTCCTGGTCTCTTGAGATCCTTCTCTAAACTACATAATGGAGCTTTCAACGTTCAAACCTTGTGTAAAATAGGACAACAAGCTTCCCTAGCTAGCACTCTGGAATCCCGTGCCATCGATGTATGTTGTCTCCGAAACGCGTATACAGGATCGAAGCAAAATCAATAATTTGATTTCACCTTGTTAAGATACGGAGTAAACTCGATCTACTGTACATGTATCTGGAAGTCCGGCTGCTGCTTGCGTTGCTTCTGTAGTGTAAGTATAGCACTGAGTTCTACGGCAAAACTAGCTCCTCTGAACTGGATCCCAGTAAACAGTCGCTTGTGCACTGTCCGACTAAACGGGACAGTAGGGATTCGGAGATACGCCGTTCCCTATTCGTCGAATCTGCCTAGGCTCCCACTAACTGCAGTTCAGATGAGGTAAAAGATGAGGAAGAAAGAAGAAACTTTCGGACCTCCGAAAAGTTAGGCGCTCAGATATAGTAATAGTGGCTGGTGACTTCAATTCTGAAGTAGGTAGGGAAGACACCGTTTGCAACAGCTATGCTCAGATAAGAGCCTATTCCTAGCGGACACTAACTTTAAGCATAAGGATAAACATCTTTTGAGCTGTCGACCTTCAGAGTTGTTCCAAACCGGACATAACTGAATCACATCGCTACCAGCTACCGATGGAGGGGTTCGATCGAGGACTGTCGCTCGTCCTGGGGCACATGTCTACGTTCAGGTCATGCCCTAGTGCGAGCGCGTATTTGTTTGTGGCTAACCGGACGTAGGAACGACACCGCAAGTAAACGTGTTAGGGTTCTACTTAGTGGTCGAACAGCTAAGAATATATTTCAGGAGCAACTGGAAAAACAGTTAGACGGGAATATAAGTTATTCCGATACGGAGGCAGGTTAGAATGATATCAAAAAGGCCGTGGAAACAGCAGTGACACTTGCTAGTAAGGTAAACCATAAGTCTAGGAAGAAGCTGTGGATCTCAATAGCATCCACCGAACTGATAGACGCTCGTAAACTCATCCCACTTTGCTCTGAACATGATGAAGAGCGAAGTCAGCTTAAACGCATGCTGATAAATAGCCTACAGTGGTGGGTGGCGAAAGCGAGAACGATGGAAAAGGCAGTGACAATAGGCAATAGTAGACAGTTGTAATGAGTTATCAAGGAAACCGGTATTAAAAATCCATCTGTCAGCAAAACTATTTTAGAAAAGGATGTGCTTATGATTCATTCTCAATCCAGTAGATTGGATCGACAGGCAGGAGACTTTAGGGTTCAGTTCAAGTGGCCTTCAGCAACACTTCGGTTGCCCACTATCTCCAGTCATCCTGAATGGCAAATCGATGTAAGTCGTCTGATTCCTTATGAAGTTGAGAAAGCTATAGATAATGTGAAGCGAGTGAGAGCAGCGAGTCCTGATAGATTGACCCTTGAGGTTTTTAAGGATGGTGGTCCAGTTTTAGCAGTTGGGTTGATCGAGATCTTAGGTAGAATTTGGGAACTGGGCGTAATCCGTTCTCACTCGTCCCAGTCGCTAATTGTCCCAATTTACAAGAAAGGACAAAAGGTTTCTTGTGACAATCATAGAGGAATCAGTTTAACTAATTTAGTATCGTAAATATTGGCCTCAATAATAATCCGATGCCTTACTTTAGCTCTTGAAGAACAGGCTGGTTTTGGACCTGGACGTGAATGAATAGACCAAATATTCACGCTACTTCAGGTCCCAGAAATTAGCATTTTTATGCAGCTATAAATAAGCGTTTTGTGTAAAGTTGTAATATTGAAGTATATGTATTCTAAGTATCATAAGCTGTGGTCGTCAAGAAAGTTTTTTTATATTTTTCCAACTTGTTTAATTATAATGCTTTAAAATATTGCATTTCTTATCTTCAGGTTGCTGTAGAACAAATATTAGGTAATCGTAAATTAAAAAGTTCCAAGATTACAAAAGCGAGTGAGTAAACGTTTTTAAAAGTATTGTTTTTCGAATCCAACTCATCTAAAGTGGGTTTTGTCACTAGCTGTCACAAAAAAGTACAATTGAAAACCAGGGAATTATGTCGAATTATCAAGTCACAAATCGCGATTAAAAATTTATACAGTATCAACCACGGGACATTCGGAATCAATCCAAATTAAATTTAATCTCATACCCGTTGCACAAGTGAGTGGCTATATAGGCTGAGTAGCTAAATAAATAATGCGATGGCATTTGGAGCATACGGTGTTGGGTTCGAGTCCCACAGTAATCATCAACTCTGGGATGAGGGCAGATCCAGCTGATAAGTCCCAAGTTGGACTACATTCGCATTCTGGATTCCACTGTTAGTCACATTCGGTTTATCCCCCTTCAGTTTGAGCAGCAGACCACTTGTTGGGGTCTTTGAGACGAAAGTCATCAACGGTTAGAGACCTTGAGCGACATGGCTCAAAATCGTTTGCTATGGCGCAAGTGCATCAATTCGTTTTGCTCTCTCAAATCCTAATCTTGATTCGTTAGCACCTCTACCTTTGTCTTTCAAACCTTATTTCACTAAATGATACTTCTTGAATAATATCTTCGAACCCTAGTCTTCTTCATTACCATTAATACCTCTACTATCTTTATCACTATGGGATTTGATTTGACATTCGCGTCTCTGTGCTAATGTGGTATGGCAACCTGAACTTATGTACATACGTACGAAGTTCTACGTTGCAACTGACACAATGACAGCAGACTACAGACAGTTCTATATATTAGCATATGTCTTCTATTAATTTCTTGGTGTAAAACTGATTTTTAACAGATGATTTACATAACTTACTATATTGTAAAGTTCGCACAATTATGTTTTCGGCCAAGTATCCTTTTATGTTGAACGGCTTACAGTAGGTTTTCTCTAATTTTTTAAAAGTAGTGCATTGATGAGTAACATTTAAATTGTCTCGAAGGTGCATTTCACTTGTCGAAGATTTTATGTAGTTTTCATTTCATACACACATTATGTATGTGTCAAAGTTCACAATAAATTATCAATTCACCTCTAGATAAGGTTATATGGTTGCAATCCGAATTTAATGGCTCGCTTAATTCTTGTTGTCGTGAATAATAATAATGGTAATAATTTTTCTTGTATAGAGTTAGGATTTATGGCAAGTTTACATACAGCAAAATTATGGTCCAGTTTTTTCGATTTTTACCTTGTTGGGTATGTCAGGTTCCCAGACATAACATTGTTTTTTCCATCCGAACGTCTATCAAGCGGACCAATTAGATGATGGTATATAATCATTCTTAAAATCTACATCTTCGTTTCAGGTGATTTTCGTACATCTACTGTCAGTGCTAATTAATCCATTGTGGTTTTTGTTTGTTTGATTTGCTTTCATCTGATAATTGTTCAGTCTGGTAATTTATGTAATCAATCATCACTGGATTTAGTTATTATATAACTGAATGAGCTACAATATATAGTATTTCAACTCGTTTTTTAAATTTTTAACGGGGTTTTTTAAAACAACCAAAAAATTTTTAAAATTTTCACAGCGTCTTTTAGAATTTTTTATCATCCTTAAAATGTCAGAAATGAAGAGGGAAAACAATTTGATTTCAAATGAAAAAAAGAAAAACACCATGAAAAAGGTTATTAAAGATGGATGCAGTGTTAAAGATACGGCATTTCTTGTGGACGTGAATTACCAAGCCGCTGCTAATGTTATAAGGTTATATATTAAAAATTAATGAACAGTTGAAAAGAACGAAAACAGGAAAACCATCAAATAAAAAATCAGTGAGGGATTCGAGGCATATACGTCGCAACTGTTTAAAAGCGATCGCTAAAGAAGACTATAATTAAAAAAACGTATTCTTTTTATTTTTTAAAAAACGCTGTGGTTATTTTAAAGAACCCTATTAAAAATTTAAAAAACGAGTTGGAATACTATAAATTAATTTTCTGCAGTCCTTACCAAATAAATATTACCCACAAGATTTGTGTTTTGGAATAGTCAGGGTTTGCGTAAATAGTTGTTATATTCCTGCTCGAAGTGTCACTGAATTTATCGCTGTTACCGCAAACATCCATCCTTTATACCCAGGAATTTACACATTAGCTGTTTTATTGAAAAATTTATAATAAATCCAAGGAAATCAAATAATATAGAGCATCCAGAAAAGTAGCGCATCAAATAAGCAATCTGATTAATTCAAGTACTGTTAAAAGTTATTACATAACACAAATCTTGTTTGAACAGATTTTTTACTATTGATTAGTCTGCAAGTTTTTATAGCCTCCTTTTTATGGTTACTGATAATGTATGTAGGTAGTTTTTATTTTTGAATGGTAAAAACTATTGAGTTTGGCTATTGTTCATTGTTATCATTAGTATTACTTAGCCATCTTAAGGTGCTTATCACTAGGTTAAAGTGTTTGATAAATATCAATAACTAGGGCATATATCCTCTGATGCTGTCGCACTGTTTAGTTTTTCTCTCATTCGAATTGCATGCGATTGCTCTAAAATCAATATATAACAAGTAAATAATGGTGAAAAACTTTGCCTTTGTTATAATACTGCTACGAAGCTATTCAAAACCTACCGACGTCCGAATCCGAATATTCCAATACGACCCAAATACTATTCTCCAAATCTCCTATATATCAGAACGCAACACCGTTGGATGGAGTTGTTTATTGGGTCGAGTACAGAAGAGAGGTAGGCAGGAAAGAACGGAATCATGAAGTCCTACAGATATTGCGTATTTGTACATTTAGGTCGAATAGGAAAGAGCATCGAAGTCTGTGGCATTGGAAGTTTAGGACGACCAATAGGAAAGAACATTTGAAGTGACATTGACAGTCCGGATGACCAATCAGAGACAACATTGAAGTATTTGACTTTGACAGTTAAGACGACCATAATTTTGACCAATAGAAATCGACCAATAGGATTATACTTCCAAAAATAGTACTCTTAGGATATTGGGTGAATATCCTAACAACCTTTCTGAGTTCAAATGAGTATGTAACTTTTATAGCTCTCATACGATATTTTCGAAAACGTTCAACCCGTCGAGTACATTTGTGGACGTTTTTGATTTTCTATTTTGTGTTATTTTTTAGTAATTTACTAATTTTCTTACAACGGAATAGAAAATACATAGTATCTCAATAGACTTGGATTAGCTAGATTCATGTCATTGCATGTAACACAAGGATTGATGCTTATAATTCTTGGCGTCCTAAATAATTGGATTATTTAATCTTGATAGTTTTTCACAAACGTGACTAGTTTCACCGCTGTTATTCATATCTGTTGATATAGGTAGGGTGAAACGAAATTGCATGCTCTGTTTCCAACAAATGGTGTGAAGACATATAAACTCGTGAATTAATCCCATGTTTAATTTCATCTTAAGTGCTGAAATGGGTATATATGTTACTACCTCTTCTTTAGGAGCCTGCACCTCACGTTGGTATTTCAGGAAGCTATAAATTGTCGTGTTTACCTTTATTGGTCACCTTACCAACATTAGCCTGAATATTCAAATGAACAAAAACGTCAACAGACAACTTCTTTATCTTTTAATATCAGAAAAACTTTCTGTGGCACACATCTAGCTCTCTGGATTGTTTCCCAAGTCAACTCCAACTAACTTATATACATGGAAATCATTAACAAATACTGTTGTTATGAAATATGCGCTACTGCATGAATTCTGTTGTAGAACTTTTTGAGTACCCAAACGGTAAAATAACTTGCTACATTTGAACTACAGTTTCTAGCAGTTTTATATGCTGACCTAATTAGTGATTTAATGTTACTATCTAATATATCCTACTCTTAATCTGATACTTCTGCTTAGCTTTATGTTTAATTGCTAAAATTACTTTTTATTTATATTCTAGTCAGTGAAGCAGTTAATAATTTTTCGTCAAATAATAAAGAAATCGTTGAACAAGAATATTTCGTTAAATTTATTGACCAGTCTTATTGGCATTGTGCATGGATGAGTGGAGCAGTTCTTTTCACTCTCAACCCGAGTAAAACAAGGGCTTATTTCAGAAGTAAACAGAATCCCAATAATCGGGATTTAAACTTGGACAGCTCCATATTAGGTCTAAATGATGAATGCAGCCGAATGGGAAATGAAGTTCATGATAAAGAACAACAAACTAAAGATTCAAATAACGATGATACTGCCTCAAAATGCGCAGAGACTGAATCTAAACTAACAACATTGGTTTCTCATTCGAGTGAAGAAGAGAGTGATGATGAAGATAATCTAAGCAAATGGAGTACGGATGCTGAACTGGACGTTAATGAGTAAGCTAAAATTTTAGTGTGCTTTTCTTTTCTTGTTTTTGTCAGTCTGATTAGACTTAGACAGTGAATCAGTGGAGCATTTTACCAACTGCTTTCTAATGTATCACAAAATAAAGTATACTTCACTGTTGTGTTCCTTAGTTTGCTTATAATATTTTGTTTCGATTGAACGGAATTCTTCATGCGTTGAAGACCTGACCGTCGTCTTAGTTATGTTTTATTAAATCATGTGTGTACGTAAATGATTCGAACCAACATTCAGTTGCGAATCCTGTTCTCCAAATAACTTCTTTTGTTGGTTTGGTTTTTGATTGTTTGGCTTTTCTCCAGGTCACTGTCTAAGTTATCTGTGCACCTAATTCGAATGAAATGATTATCAGTTTTCATAACATTCACCTCTATACGTTTTCATCCAACTCCGGGTTATGTTCGCTACTGGGTGCGTATCAGTTATGTTTATCATACTATCATTGCATAAAAGTATGTTGCCAATCTATTTGTATTATCCCTACCTGGTTTGTAAGCTCATAAATTAATGGGGATCGTGATTTATGATAGTCAATTCAAGTTATATAGTTGATCCCACTCTCAGCTGTAGCATGAAATATACATTGACCTTGTTTATTGAACTTTATTTGTTCTGGAGTTTGATAAACTATCTTTTCACTTGGTTATTTGAATTTTTAGTTGCAAAAACAATGTATTTTTCTATTTTCTGTTTGCAAAGGTGGATCGCCAACTATCCAAAACGTGTTGGTTCACGTCGTCGCTATCTTCTACGATGGGGTGTTAAAAGTCACACACTTATTCCCGAACGTATTTTGGCTGTTGGGGAAACGTTCACTCCTGAGAAGTTTAGAAAGATTGATAGGTCAGACGATAAAAACAAATCTAATCGACCACCGAATAAAATGAAATGGCCAGAATACAGAGAAGTCCTTGTCAAATGGTTGCATTTGCCATATATTAATGCAACATGGGAGACAGTTGAATCAGATATGTTAAGTTTAAACTCTTATGATCATAAAAGTCACAGAAGTGCATATAAAGTTCTTGATCCTTGCGGACGCAATTTATTACCACGTTTAGTGAGGCGACATATCATCAGGTTAGCTGATAGATATTGCTCTCGTGTTGCAACAATGCTATGTGATACCTACGGAAATCAGCTTACACCGGGAAGAAAGAATAGAAGTACCGAAAATTGGAAAGTATGTTCTTTATTTTTGTGATATACTTATCTATGCCGTACTTTGTTCTAGACAGCTGGGTATTATCACTTGTCTTCATATTAACTAACATAGTTTAAATATGGAGATATAAACCTGTATTTTTTTGTACCGAAATTGCTACTTGAAATAATATAACCCCATTATTGAGTACATGTTGATACACTCTTACGGAGGTGGACAAACGTTTTTATCCGAAGACAGCATGAACATAGTTAACACACCAACTATGTACAATATTTATTTTTTTCAATCCCACTTATGATGACTTAGGGAAACTAAGTTGTACCTATATATATCCTATATTTATTGAATATTCCATTATTATTCCTACTTATAAGATTGTTGCTTAGACGTGATTCTAAGAAAATTGGTAAAATTAAATGGATAGATTCTATGTCATACGTGACTTTCTTGTGAGTCTGTTTCGTGTTTTGTGATGCAAGATGTTGTTCCGGTTATTATATGGAGTCATTAACTTCGTCTTTTTTATTTGATTTAGTCAAAATGGATCGGTGAACAACCTACTTATTTGTCCCCAGTTCATCGTGGAGTCCTTCATCCCTATCAAATAGAAGGTACGAGGTGGTTATGGCATGCATATCATAATAATATCAACGCCATTCTGGCAGATGAAATGGGCCTGGGCAAAACTGTACAAGTGATAGCTTTACTGTATTCACTATGGAAGGAAGTATGTCGTGATTATTTCATCTTCCCATGTTTTTTTGATTGTATGTTGTTTTAAACAAAATATACTAAAGAAGATAACTAAGTAAAGAACCTGATGAAACTTTTTATTCTCAAATTTCGTCCAAGTAGACTTTTACGGATAATTTGAATCTTAATGGACGAGGATTGAGTTTTTTAATTATTGTAATGATTATATTTTATTAAGCAATAACTTACACTTCAATACTTCAGTAGGAATACTTAGTTTTATGTCTTGGAATTATCTTACATCATAAAGTAGTGGGAAGAAAATGATCTTTTTGATATCTGGTTTTCACCATCAACTTGCTGTTATGCGTGAATGGTGCCTAAATACTGACATCATCCAATAGCGTATTGCATTAATTTTTTAACATCTACTCACTTCTTATGACCAAATATCATGACTTATTTTATTGCATTTCATACATGTAATGATAATAAGTAATGTTAGAATATTTGGCTCTGATAAAAACAAATTTAAATGCCTACTACCTTTATTTGTAAAAATACAGATAAATTGTCAAACTGCGTCTACAGTGTCGGTAATTTGGGTTTTATTTAGGAGAATGACTATGGGCCATTTATTATAATGGCACCTCTGTCAACCTTACAGAATTGGGAAAGAGAATTCTCGATTTGGGCACCTGATTTCTACATCGTTGTTTACAGTGGTGACAAACAAGTTCGTGCTATGCTTCGGTAAGTCTGTATGCAATATCTAGTGTTTCAGCAAGTATGTAAATCACAATTTTGTAATATAAATGGAATCATACTATCATCCCAGAATATTTAAAAGCAGTGTCGCAAAATGCATGCTATGAAAAATTCGCATCTGAACTAACTACAACAAGTGTTGCCCGCCAAAAATATCCACAGTAACTCTTCCTGCTGAGCATTTTCATGGGCATATTTATATAAGTAACTATTGAGGTTCGAATTTTCTACAGATTATTTCTTATCCACAGTTCTCGTGATTAATCTTAGTCATGCAGGTAGTTCTGTTATTCGAAGACGAAGACTAGTTAAATTCATGTTCTTCCCAAACCTTTGAAGGACATACTGAAAACTTTCACCACGCATTTTAAACCTGTCACATAGGAAATGCTGTTCCTGATTCTTTTACATAAATACCTGGTTTAGGAATATGAAGTAAAATCGTCATGCTTGTGTTAACTCTGAATAGCTGATCATCAATGAGCTTTCAGTTCAAACAGAGAAGCTGCATTTGGTGTTTGCTAGTCCATACCGTATAAAAAGTGGTGTTGAAGTTTTACGCAAAGTCGAGTGGGTCGAGAACTGCATCATTTGCGCATAAAAGGTAATATTATATTGCTTTCGGAGTTTGTTGCTGTGCGTTATCTGTCCGTTTTTGTTTGAAGGAATGATTGTTCTGGTTCCCCTTGTGTACAACTATTGATAGTGGTTGTATTTTTATCACGTAATCACCTTAAAATAATTTCGATTCGAATTCGTTGTTTGATGAAAGAAATAACTTAAACAGCCATTTGTGTGAAAAGTTAACTACGGTTAAAAAACATTGTCGTGAAATAAAGTGTAGTCTTTATATTAAGTCGTCAGTTTTTTGATTCCATTCGCGCACATCTAACACCTCAATAATACCATTGCTTAAATATTGCTCAAATATTTGAAATCTTTCCGTTGTATAAATAATCAATTGCTTTCACGTTAAATTACTTTTTCTTTTCTTTAGGGAATATGAATTCCGTTTACGAAATGCTGGAGGGATACCTGCGTTCCATGTACTTATCACCAGCCATGAATTGGCTTGTATTGATCGTTCATTTTTGAAGACTTTTGACTGGAGTGTTTTAGTTGTGGATGAAGCTCACCGTCTAAAAAATAAACAATCTCGTGTACGTAAAGCGATTCATGTGTGCCCATTTCTTTTTTGTCAATATATTAAAAAATCCAAATAACATCCAGTTTGTATCTTTTCAGCAACTCCATTAGGAATTGAGCCCTAAAACTTCTAAGCAATCAGGTTTCCTTCCAGTCACTGGCTAAATATTCAGAAGTTTGGTACCCTAAAATCAGTCGCTTCAAGATATGAGAGCATTATTATTGACAATTAACGGTGGTAATTTGTCTTCAATGGATAATTTATAATACACCTCGGTAGCATGCATCAGATTGTTAGTCATCTTGGTAGGTGGTAGTAAGGTCTGCATCTAAAGCCATACATAAGTTTTGAAATGATTAAGGAAATTCGTGGCTTATTTGATTACTTTTTGGCGTTGCTGAGTTCCTTGACCTAGATGGTTTAAATGCATAGCTTTCACTGTCGTTTTTGTTATTATCACATCATCGGAACCTACTACTCAAAGTAAGGTCTGTTATTGATGTCCAGGATGAAATTGAAAGCTCTACAGTTATACCATCAAGCTGAGATAACTCAGTAATACCAGAAATAAACAAATTTTATAACATTGTATTGTGGTTTCACTTAATTTCAGAATAGATCCTTATATATCCATAAGCTTTTATCTCCTTTATCTCATGGTGAACGATTGACTACTTAAAGTTGATCAACGAAACTGTCAAATATTTTCATTGTACATGTATCTTATGAGTAGAAGTTATGCTCTCCTGTTATTTGACTTTCTGTAATATGTGGTATTAAATTGTTGTCATATTTATTTTTACTCCGTAGTTTTTCAAAGATACCAGTCAGTATCATACTAGATTTAAAATCCTTTTAACTGGAACACCATTGCAGAACAATTTAGAAGAATTATTCCATCTATTAAATTTTGTTGAACCGAAAAAATTTACGTGAGTTCTTTTTCATATCTGATATGCTACTTATATTTTTGAAATTATTATATTATATGGAAATAGATTGTAGGCATGGTGCATATTATAAGGACAAAGAAACGTTGACAGCTAGCCCAGTTTGCTACTATATCCACTAGATAACATCAAATCTGTGAAATTCCTCAGTTTGGTTCAGTGGTTTCCATCTTGTTAGTTTCTTCGTCATGTATGCTGGAACTATTAACTTTTGCCATTAAACCATCTTTTCCTGATATATTCTTGTCTTTCCATTCACACGTATCTCTATACTTAAAATAACTGATCATTCTGTTGGTATTAGGGTTATACAATGGGATTTCATTAATTTGACAAATGAATTATCGGTTGTTCGAATGGAATAAAAAATGCTGATTGATGGGTAGTAAACATCCTAACGAATTGTGGCCAAGACGAGTGCTCACGAGATCGTTACATTATTGAGAATGATTAATAATCAAAGACATGATCACTAGCCAAAATTATGGGTTTTCTATACAATGAACTGATGTACTTTTATAAAAAATATTCAGACAAAATGAACATGCTAAATTTCTCTCAATAATTAGCGAAACTCTCTAGTGCCATAAGACTTGATCGTTCTGCCGAATTCATTAGTTTCGTCTATTTTGCCGTATACAAGCGAAAGTAAACCTGTACGAACCTTCAGAGAATAACTTCAGTGGGCCGAAATACACATCACGGTAGTCAGTCAGCTGCAATGTCGAACTTCGTACGTACGTACGTCAGTTCAAGTCGCCATCCCACATTAACAGAGAGATAGAATTGTCAGTTCAAACCCCATAGTAGTATAGGTTGTAGCAGTATTAGCTGTAATTGAAAAGATTAGGGATCGGAGATATAGTTTGAGAAGTATATTACAGTGAAATAATTTGGAAAAGAGAAACAAGGTCATAAAGAATTCAGTGTTAGAATTTAAGAAAGGAAAAAGAACTGATTTACCTGCGTTATTGAAAGCGGTTGTGAGCCGTGTCATTGGAGAACGATGAGCCTAAAAGCAGCTGCTCAAGGTCCGAGGGCGAAGTCGTACTGCTGACTGTAGAGGGGTGTGACGGCAATGAGGTGTTCCCCTGTAGAAACACCAGTGACATTTGCTAGTAAGGTAAACCATAAGTCTAGGAAGAAGCTGTGGATCTCAATAGTATCTATCGAACTGATAGACGCTCGTAAACTCATCCAACCTTGCTCTGAACATGATGAAGAACGAAGTCAGCTTAAACGCATGCTTGATAAAAAGCCCACAGTGGTGGGTGGCGAAAGCAATAGTAGACAGTTGTAATGAGTTATCAAGGAAACCGTATTAAAAATCCATCTGTCAGCAAAAACTATTTTAGAAAAGGATGTGCTTATGATTCATTCTCAGTCCAGTAGATTGGATCGACAGGCAGGAGACTTTAGGGTTCAGTTCAAGTGGCCTTCAGCAACACTTCGGTTGCCCACTATCTCCAGTCATCCTGAATGGCAAATCGATGTAAGTCGTCTGATTCCTTATGAAGTTGAGAAAGCTATAGATAATGTGAAGCGAGTGAGAGCAGCGAGTCCTGATAGATTGACCCTTGAGGTTTTTAAGGATGGTGGTCCAGTTTTAGCAGTTGGATTGATCGAGATCTTAGGTAGAATTTGGGAACTGGGCGTAATCCGTTCTCACTCGTCCCAGTCGCTAATTGTCCCAATTTACAAGAAAGGACAAAAGGTTTCTTGTGACAATCATAGAGGAATCAGTTTAACTAATTTAGTATCGTAAATATTGGCCTCAATAATAATCCGATGCCTTACTTTAGCTCTTGAAGAACAGGCTGGTTTTGGACCTGGACGTGAATGAATAGACCAAATATTCACAGTACAACATGTTCTAGAATCCAGACACACATCTAGGTTTCCGACAATAGTTGTGTTCCTGGACCTCAAGGCGGCATTTGGATCGTGAGTTTTTGTGGTAGTGTCTGTATCCGAAAGGTGTACCAAAGAAGTACATTTACCTTGTACAAGCTCTCTACTTGAATACCACTGATCGAGTAAGAGCTCATGGCGATGTGTCATCGGAATAAATTACTTCAAGTGGCGTCCGTCAGGGCTGTCCACTCTCTCCATTCTTGTTAAACTTTGTCGTAGACATCCTTTTAGTGTTAACATTATTTTCATCAAATTTTTCAGGAGTAGACCTACCAGGAGGATCGTTTATTGACCTAGAATATGCCGATAACATAGTTCTATTCGATGGAGATGCTGACAAATGCAGTCTTTTGACTACCCTAAGCAAAAATGCAAGCATAATCGGAAGGCAGTTCTCACCCACGAAATGCAAAATGTTGCTTCAAGACTGGGTTTCATCGGTACCTGAACTAGTGATAGGGAGTGAAGTAGTCAGGTGTGTCGACTGCTTCACGTATTTCGGAAGTCTTGTCAGTGCTGATCGCCTGGTGACTGACGAAATTTCTGCACGGGTACAGAAGGCTCGATTGGCTTTCACCAACCTACGTCATTTATGGCTTAGGCAAGATACCCGTTTGCTAACGGAAGGTCGAGTGTACTGCTCAGCAGTTCCCTCCGTCCTACTATATGGCTGTAAAACATGGCCAGTGAGAGTAGAAGATATTCATCGGTTATTGGTTTTCGATCATACATATCTTCGAAGCATTGCTCGTGCTAAGTAAGGATGGTAGATCAATAGATGAACTATCGAAACTTCATCATTTGAGGAGGTTGGGACATGTGCTGCGTATGCCTAACCACCGACTGCCTCTATGAGCTATGTTTTGTGGTGTAGGAATAGGTTGGAGGAAAGTTAGGGGCGGCCAAACCCATGAAGTCACAAACAAGTGGACTGAGTCATGTCGGCAGGTGTCGACTACCTGGTTGTGGTCCACGAGATGATAGTAATCGATAGTTACAGACTTTGGATGACTTGGCTCAAAATCGTTTGCGTGGCGCAGGTGCATCCACTCTTTGTGTTCTCTCATATCCTAACTCCTGGACTCGTCAACACCTCTACCTTTGTGTTCCTGAACTTTCCTCACTCGATTACACTTCTCGAATAATATCTTCGAACCCTAATCTTCTCCATCACTGCTAATACTTCTACTATCTCAATCACTACGGGATTTGAACTGACAATTGCGTCTCTGTGCTAATGCTTTATGGCAACATGAATTGATGTACTTACGTACCAAGTTCTGCGTTGCAACTGACTGACTGACTCACCGATGATGACCATCTGAAGTTCGCGCTGATGATGTTGTTCAGAAGAACAACCAAAATATCCATCTCAGAGATCGAAACATCACCACGATGATCATTATTCCTTGATTGGAGATCAAGCCAACTTGTAGATTTTATTCCGTTACAATCATTTTATACTGAAATCAATTTTTATTTCCTCGCGTTTTTCTTTGTATTATTCATTCAACATTTACTTTTTTTATTGTTTTTAATGGATAGTGATTTTAGAGCATTAAGTGAACAATGGGCAGAAATGCCGAAAGCTGATCGTATCAAACATCTTCACGATTTACTCAAGCATCATTTATTAAGGCGTTTAAAGTGTGATGTGATTCAAGATTTACCAAAGAAAACTGAAATTGTTGTTCCAGTGGATATGACCTTACTTCAGAGGTGACTGTTTTTTTAAAAATTTAACCAAGTGTCTAATTTCGTTTTTAAATCATAACTTTTAAATATCTTTTTGTCGTTCTTTCATGATAATCAATATACCTATTGCATTTTTCTTGTAGACGTCTTTATAAATATATACTAACAAATAATTACGAAGAATTACGTTGTGGAAATCTAATGAACAGCATCATACATTTGCAAAAAGTTTGTAATCATCCATATTTGGTGCCAATCGGAGATGCTATTGCACCACGCTTGAATCCAAATAATGAAACAAATGAGCCGTACGAACCTAAAGCTCTAGTACAAGTTAGCAGTAAATTGGTTGTATTAATGGAATTACTTCGTGGATTGTTTGTTGATGATCATCGAGTGTTGATTTTTTCCCATTTCACAATGATGTTAGATTTACTGGAAGAAGTTATGATAAATGCCAGGTGAGTATCTTCTTTTGATAAATTTATCTGTTAGCTTTCTTGACTAATGCACTTTTTATTATAAGCAACAGTGAATTTCCCATTAGGACATGCTAGAATTTGAATTTTATCAAATTTCCAACTTATTTAACTGTTGGAATGGCCATCGTGAAGCCACCCACGCACATAGTCCATTGACGAACTTATCAATTAAATGTTTAAATATTCATTGGCAATCGATTGATGAAGTTATCGGTTAGATGTTTAAAAACTTCCATGGCAAGATCGATTATATATATAATTGCATAAATATGCATGTTTTATAGCATATTTTTGATTCCGTAAATAAGTGCTCTCCGACGTCTTTCGTCTTATTATTTTACATCGGTGTGGAGGTTCTAACCCAATAACCTTCGAACAGATTGAATCTTTACTAGAACGTCAAGGAAAACGATATGAACAGTTCCAGGAACGTATGTTGGAGAAGTTAACGAAACGAATGAATCTGAATCACAGAGGTTTTACCGATTATTCAAATAATCCGCATACAGACTCGATAACTAAATCCATTCATGAATTTCGTTTTGATGGCGTAGCTGGTGTGACTTTCGAGTCTTGGTTCAAGAAGTATGAGGATTTGTTCAAACCTCAACGCCGCCAAAGTCAGAATCCTCTTGAGAAAGCTCGGCACAATCGAACACGAACGTTATAGTAATTTCATCCTCCCAAAGAACCCACGAGATTTCTCTTTTGATGCTACAATTGAAACGCTGTCGCAAATCTTCTCTGAACAGTCATCTCTCTTTAATATTCGTTATCAATGCCTCAAAATAACCAAGTCAAATGAAGATGACTGGGTAAAGCACGCCGGCTTAGTAAATCGTGAATGCGAACGATTTAAATTATCATCAATGACGGAAGACCAGTCTAAGTGCCTTGTGTTTGTGTGCAGCCTACAATCTCCCGAAGATGCTGATATAAGAACCAGAATCTTGAGTAAAATTGAGCAGTGCCCGAACATCTCGCTACAAGAAATAACTACAGTGTCAGAGATTAGTAAATTTGAAGCAAGATGTTTGGGCACTGCTCAATTTTACTCAAGATTCTGGTTCTTATATCAGCATCTTCGGGAGATTGTAGGCTGCACACAAACACAAGGCACTTAGACTGGTCTTCCGTCATTGATGATAATTTAAATCGTTCGCATTCACGATTTACTAAGCCGGCGTGCTTTACCCAGTCATCTTCATTTGACTTGGTTATTTTGAGGCATTGATAACGAATATTAAAGAGAGATGACTGTTCAGAGAAGATTTGCGACAGCGTATCAATTGTAGCATCAAAAGAGAAATCTCGTGGGTTCTTTGGGAGGATGAAATTACTATAACGTTCGTGTTCGATTGTGCCGAGCTTTCTCAAGAGGATTCTGACTTTGGCGGCGTCATCAAGCTTGTTGAGGTTTGAACAAATCCTCATACTTCTTGAACCAAGACTCGAAAGTCACACCAGCTACGCCATCAAAACGAAATTCATGAATGGATTTAGTTATCGAGTCTGTATGCGGATTATTTGAATAATCGGTAAAACCTCTGTGATTCAGATTCATTCGTTTCGTTAACTTCTCCAACATACGTTCCTGGAACTGTTCATATCGTTTTCCTTGACGTTCTAGTAAAGATTCAATCTGTTCGAAGGTTATTGGGTTAGAACCTCCACACCGACGTAAAATAATAAGACGAAAGACGTCGGAGAGCACTTATTTACGGAATCAAAAATATGCTATAAAACATGCATATTTATGCAATTATATATATAATCGATCTTGCCATGGAAGTTTTTAAACATCTAACCGATAACTTCATCAATCGATTGCCAATGAATATTTAAACATTTAATTGATAAGTTCGTCAATAGACTATGTGCGTGGGTGGCTTCACGATGGCCATTCCAACAGTTAAATAAGTTGGAAATTTGATAAAATTCAAATTCTAGCATGTCCTAATGGGAAATTCACTGTTGGTTATAATAAAAAGTGCATTAGTCAAGAAAGCTAACAGATAAATTTATCAAAAGAAGATACTCACCTGGCATTTATCATAACTTCTTCCAGTAAATCTAACATCATTGTGAAATGGGAAAAAATCAACACTCGATGATCATCAACAAACAATCCACGAAGTAATTCCATTAATACAACCAATTTACTGCTAACTTGTACTAGAGCTTTAGGTTCGTACGGCTCATTTGTTTCATTATTTGGATTCAAGCGTGGTGCAATAGCATCTCCGATTGGCACCAAATATGGATGATTACAAACTTTTTGCAAATGTATGATGCTGTTCATTAGATTTCCACAACGTAATTCTTCGTAATTATTTGTTAGTATATATTTATAAAGACGTCTACAAGAAAAATACAATAGGTATATTGATTATCATGAAAGAACGACAAAAAGATATTTAAAAGTTATGATTTAAAAACGAAATTAGACACTTGGTTAAATTTTTAAAAAAACAGTCACCTCTGAAGTAAGGTCATATCCACTGGAACAACAATTTCAGTTTTCTTTGGTAAATCTTGAATCACATCACACTTTAAACGCCTTAATAAATGATGCTTGAGTAAATCGTGAAGATGTTTGATACGATCAGCTTTCGGCATTTCTGCCCATTGTTCACTTAATGCTCTAAAATCACTATCCATTAAAAACAATAAAAAAAGTAAATGTTGAATGAATAATACAAAGAAAAACGCGAGGAAATAAAAATTGATTTCAATATAAAATGATTGTAACGGAATAAAATCTACAAGTTAGCTTGATCTCCAATCAAGGAATAATGATCATCGTGGTGATGTTTCGATCTCTGAGATGGATATTTTGGTTGTTCTTCTGAACAACATCATCAGCGCGAACTTCAGATGGTCATCATCGGTGAGTCAGTCAGTCAGTTGCAACGCAGAACTTGGTACGTAAGTACATCAATTCATGTTGCCATAAAGCATTAGCACAGAGACGCAATTGTCAGTTCAAATCCCGTAGTGATTGAGATAGTAGAAGTATTAGCAGTGATGGAGAAGATTAGGGTTCGAAGATATTATTCGAGAAGTGTAATCGAGTGAGGAAAGTTCAGGAACACAAAGGTAGAGGTGTTGACGAGTCCAGGAGTTAGGATATGAGAGAACACAAAGAGTGAATGCACCTGCGCCACGCAAACGATTTTGAGCCAAGTCATCCAAAGTCTGTAACTATCGATTACTATCATCTCGTGGACCACAACCAGGTAGTCGACACCTGCCGACATGACTCAGTCCACTTGTTTGTGACTTCATGGATTTGGCCGCCCCTAACTTTCCTCCAACCTATTCCTACACCACAAAACATAGCTCATAGAGGCAGTCGGTGGTTAGGCATACGCAGCACATGTCCCAACCTCCTCAAATGATGAAGTTTCGATAGTTCATCTATTGATCTACCATCCTTACTTAGCACGAGCAATGCTTCGAAGATATGTATGATCGAAAACCAATAACCGATGAATATCTTCTACTCTCACTGGCCATGTTTTACAGCCATATAGTAGGACGGAGGGAACTGCTGAGCAGTACACTCGACCTTCCGTTAGCAAACGGGTATCTTGCCTAAGCCATAAATGACGTAGGTTGGTGAAAGCCAATCGAGCCTTCTGTACCCGTGCAGAAATTTCGTCAGTCACCAGGCGATCAGCACTGACAAGACTTCCGAAATACGTGAAGCAGTCGACACACCTGACTACTTCACTCCCTATCACTAGTTCAGGTACCGATGAAACCCAGTCTTGAAGCAACATTTTGCATTTCGTGGGTGAGAACTGCCTTCCGATTATGCTTGCATTTTTGCTTAGGGTAGTCAAAAGACTGCATTTGTCAGCATCTCCATCGAATAGAACTATGTTATCGGCATATTCTAGGTCAATAAACGATCCTCCTGGTAGGTCTACTCCTGAAAAATTTGATGAAAATAATGTTAACACTAAAAGGATGTCTACGACAAAGTTTAACAAGAATGGAGAGAGTGGACAGCCCTGACGGACGCCACTTGAAGTAATTTATTCCGATGACACATCGCCATGAGCTCTTACTCGATCAGTGGTGTTCAAGTAGAGAGCTTGTACAAGGTTAATGTACTTCTTTGGTATACCTTTCGGATACAGACACTACCACAAAAACTCACGATCCAAATGCCGCCTTGAGGTCCAGGAACACAACTATTGTCGGTAACCTAGATGTGTGTCTGGATTCTAGAACATGTTGTACTGTGAATATTTGGTCTATTCATTCACGTCCAGGTCCAAAACCAGCCTGTTCTTCAAGAGCTAAAGTAAGGCATCGGATTATTATTGAGGCCAATATTTACGATACTAAATTAGTTAAACTGATTCCTCTATGATTGTCACAAGAAACCTTTTGTCCTTTCTTGTAAATTGGGACAATTAGCGACTGGGACGAGTGAGAACGGATTACGCCCAGTTCCCAAATTCTACCTAAGATCTCGATCAATCCAACTGCTAAAACTGGACCACCATCCTTAAAAACCTCAAGGGTCAATCTATCAGGACTCGCTGCTCTCACTCGCTTCACATTATCTATAGCTTTCTCAACTTCATAAGGAATCAGACGACTTACATCGATTTGCCATTCAGGATGACTGGAGATAGTGGGCAACCGAAGTGTTGCTGAAGGCCACTTGAACTGAACCCTAAAGTCTCCTGCCTGTCGATCCAATCTACTGGATTGAGAATGAATCATAAGCACATCCTTTTCTAAAATAGTTTTGCTGACAGATGGATTTTTAATACCGGTTTCCTTGATAACTCATTACAACTGTCTACTATTGCTTTCGCCACCCACCACTGTGGGCTTTTTATCAAGCATGCGTTTAAGCTGACTTCGTTCTTCATCATGTTCAGAGCAAGGTTGGATGAGTTTACGAGCGTCTATCAGTTCGATAGATACTATTGAGATCCACAGCTTCTTCCTAGACT